TCTCTCGTGGCTTGGAAAGAGAGAAGGAAGTAAGTATCTGTGGGAAGATGAGGATACATGAGCCTCAGCGATAGAGGAATGGCGGGCCTTTCCAAGCTCTCAGCACATCTGTGTGTCTATTTTAACATGGCGTATGTTTTCACTTAAGTTCTGTGTTGTCATTCAAGTGTGCTTGTTGTTACACACTTGACTCTTGGTTGTGTTGAGAACAACACATCCGCTGTAAAAGTGGAAACAAGATGCTGCGTTTGAGACAGATTTCTTTCTATAGCCTCTTTCATCTGAGATTGTATACAGCTATTGTGGTGCCAATGACTTGCGCTCTTTGTTCTTTCTTTGTATAGGTCAGAGTGGGAAGGCCAAGAATTAACTTGGTTACTTAAGGAGAGTAGGAAGGCTGCTCACCACAGGGCTTTTTCACTGTATACAAGAAAAGCAAAGGTTCCTGGGAGATGGTGTAAAAGGGACAATAGCAGTGCAGACTAACCTCATGCCAAAATTAACTTTTAAGAGGCCAAGGACATAAGAAAGATAGAAAAACAGTTAAAGGTCCAGTGTGTAGGATTTAAGGGGATATATTGGCAGAAATGGAATACAATATTCATAACAATGTTTTCATCAGTGTATCATTGCCTGAAAATAAGAATTCTTGTGTTTTCGTTATGTTAGAATGAGCTGTTTATATCTATACACGGAGCGGGTCCTCTTCCACCAAGTCTGCTATGTTTTTCTACTGTAGCTCAGAATGGACAAATCAAACACTGGCTTTAGATAGGACTGTTCATGTTTTCACATTGACCGCCAAAGTTCTCCTTCACTCTTGGCACATGGGAGATTTCAGTTCTGCAGCCTCACCACTAGATGCCACTAATTCCCACACACCAGACTTTTAAAGGCTCTGTATTTAAGAATGTGGCCAAAAAGGTTACTGCACTCAAATTCAAAATACTGCCGTGAGTAGTGTCCGCCCCCCTCCCCTACCGATTCGAGGTTGCTGGACAGAGGCACGCTGGAGACTGATTTGTTTGCCCATGGGCGGCTGCCGTGGCAGGGCCGCGTTGCTGCGTCCTTGATCTTCGGTTTTCCAGCGGACCGTTCGAGCAAGTCCGGCTTCTCTGCTGCTAATGCTGCTGCTGGGATACAGCTGAGGAGGAGCCGGCTGCTAATGCTATGTACCGGGACACTGCTAAAGCTGCTAACAGAGCTGCTGTAGCTCAGTCGTAAGTGTAACTGATGCTGAGACTCTACTGACTGCGTGACTGGTAGACGGCGGTGGGTGGTGCAACAGGCCAAAACACAAATTTAAAACATAAACATGATTTGCAGACTGCAAAAAAATTTTTTAGATGCAAATATTCTGGCTGTACTATTGTTGTCGGTGTGATCAGTATGTTATATAAACATTATTCCTTAGTCTCTGTGACATATTAGGAGGATTTTACGACTATTTGCTTTAGATTTCTTACATATAGCTCCTTTAAGAGAAAAGCTACAGTCAGTCCTGAGACTACAACATTTGCACTCCAGCAGTATGTGAATACGTTTATATTCAAAACTCATGATAAGCCTTTAATAAAACCTGAGCTGAGTGAAGCACCTTCTATATAGCTTAATATTTCTTCTGACCATTTTTCGAAATTATTTTATTTTGTAGCATTTCAAAGAAACTTATTTTACATGTATGTATGGTGTAATCCAAACTCTGCGGACCAAAATAATTCTGCAATATCTATTGCACGTGGATAGTTTGATGTTGAGTCATGGTGTTCCTGTTTTGTGATCCAAGTTCACTAACTCCTATTTGCCAGTGGCTGGGCTTGCTATTGTAGTAACCATGTTCCCATGCCAGAGGGTACAACCCTTCCTTAAACAAAATAAACTCCATGATATGTCATTGTGTCAGAGGTGGGCGTCGTTGCTGTCTCCTTTCCTGGCCACAGATTTATAAGGGACTGAAATGTTTACTGTGTTCCACTCCGTCCCTCAGAAACAGTGATCATCAGTAGTCAATCTTCCTGACAGTTGAGGCTCTGGAGACCTGAGTTAGACTGAAGACCCTGTAGGTTGCACTGGGGTCTGCAGAGCTGGAGGGGATCTGGCAGTTAAGTGGAGAGGTGGGGAAAGTAGAGAGCGTGTTGAAACATCAAGTAAACAGGGATGTATAAATAGTGTGCATGGAACAGGTGCTAATTTATACTTGGGTTATTTTCAGTTCAAACAATCAGCTATTTATCCATCACTTTTAAAGTGAATTCATTGATGTCTCATTGTGAACATTTTGACATGAATGTGGCAGAGTTAAAGACAATTAAAGATCTCTTGTTCTGCAATACTACCAGTGACACAACAACCGGCGACAAGTATTATGTTATTATACACATATGATTATTGTCACATATGTATACTATCAGATATTAATATATACTTTCAACATATTGTACCACAATAGCCAGAATTATAACTATAATATTATTACTTTCATAAATGTTGTTGTAAGCTACTGTCATTACCGTCTGTCCTGCATCTCTCTCTGTCTCTCTCTCTCTTTCTGTCTCATTGTGTCATACGGATTACTGTTCATTTATTATGCTGATCTGTTCTGTACGACAACTATTGCACATCTGTCCGTCCTGGAAGAGGGATCCCTCCTCAGTTGCTCTTCCTGAGGTTTCTACCGTTTTTTTCCCCTGTTAAAGGGAGTTTTTCCTTATCTGCTGCGAGGGTCCTAAGGACAGAGGGATGTCATATGCTGTAAAGCCCTGTGAGGCAAATTGTGATTTGTGATATTGGGCTTTATAAATAAAATTGATTGACTGATTGAAGTGATTTTCAATCGAAACCAATGACACGAAGCTATAAACTGACGCCTGGCACTTGTTGTTGCATGACAAGTGTGATGTGCTACAAATCGAAGCTCAGCTGGACTCAACTTTATTTCACTTCTCCAATAAAGTGGTGGAGCATGAACGATCATATGTTACTGTTTTACCATTTCCCCATTATGACATAAACTAGGCTACGTCAACAAGCTCTTGAGCAACACTGCAATGGCGACTCATCGACACTGTAGCTTATCATTTGTAGTGCGAACAGACCATTACACTTGATAGTGCTAGGCAGATAGTGTACATTTGGCTTGTGTAAGCTCCTGTGCTAATGCTAGCTACTGATTTTTGCCTGTGAAGAGAACCAAAAAAATTAGCTAAAAGTGTCTTTGAGCAACATGGAGCTGTAAAATGGAGTGTTGATTCTTAGTGGTATCAGTAATACTAACAACCCTTTCACATAACCAACAATTATACTAGTTTAGTATAAATATACTACTAAAAATGTTTACAACCTTCAATATTCCTGTAATCTGATCAGTCTTGTCAGTTCACAGCAGTATTATGAGGACTATCTTTACAAATGAATTGAGTAAAATAGTAATTGTACTTGTTAAACTACATTTATTTGCAGAATTTTGCAACACAAGAACTTTAACAATTGTCTGCAGCCATATTATGTGGGGGTGTAAGATAGACTGCGTATCACCACTTACTCCCATTGTACAAAAATGAAGCCAAAACATCCCAGATACAGCCACTGCCATATTGCAGAGGTGATGTCATTCGGAGTCAGAGTCTGGTTAACCGCGTTTATAGTACAAAAACGTACTTATAACAAAACGTATTAGAAAAACAAACACTTGAACATACATGAGCATGATAAGAACTACCTAAAATAACAAAAGCAGTCTTAATTAAAGATTTATTTGACGTACTTTGAATTGGGTTTGAGTTTGGCCCATGTCCTATCTGCTAACATGGGGGGTGGGGTTGATGAGAGACGATCGAGAGGTTAGGCTTCACTTTTGGGCACCTGTCATGTTCATCTTTATTAGGCCTATATAGTCTATGGGTTCTACTTAGGCTCAGTAGTGTTTTAAGCTAAATGCTAACATCAGCATGCTAACACCATGACATCATAATGTCAAAGCTAATGTAATGGTGTTCAGCAGGCACTTAAATATTTACCATTGGATGCGATATTCAATGCCCATATTTGGTCATTAACACATTAAAATCATTACCTGACAATAGTGTTAGACGAAAAGTTAAGGAATCACCAAAGTTATCCCAGTTCATCCTAAGGGGGGCATGAATGTCTAACCAAATTTGATGACAGTCCATCCAGTAGTTTTTGAGACATTTCACTTTAACCCACAAATGTGAACCTCATGGTAAAGAAAAATCAGGGGATCATATCAAGGTGTTGGGAAACACTGTTTGGGAACCATGAATGTTTGTACAAAATTTTGTTGCAATTCATGGAGTAGATTTTGAGGTATTTCACTGGATAAGTAAAAACTTACACTGACATGCTGGTGGCGCTTTATAATATTAAAGGCCCGAACATACTTGGCCGGAAAGTATGCGGAACGGACTCCGCGAGGAATGTCCGCAGTCATTCGGGCTTTCATAGTCGAGCGCACTTCCACGTTGTAGTTTCCTGTAAAAATGTCTGTGAAAAATCCCCGCGATGTGAAAAATACATGCCGAGCAGTCACTGGTGCATGGAGCGGAGTCTGCTCGGTCGTAAAATCGTAAACTCGGTTTATGACCGCGCGGTCGTAAACCGAGTATGTTCAGGCCTTTAGTCAGGGGGGCAACAAAGTTATCAGGAGTCATCCTCTGGATACTATGAATATCTGCACCAAATTTGAAAGCAATCCATCCTACAGTTAATGAGACATTTCTTTCAAACCAAAATCTTCAATCTCATTGTGGCATTAGAGAAGGGAATCACCAAAGTTATTACAATTCATTCTTCTGGGGACCATGTGTGTCTGTATAAAATTTCATGGCAATCAGTTCAATAATTGATGAGATATTTCAGTCTGGACCAAATTGCAACAGAGCTAACTTACTCCATTAGCATGGCTAAAACCAAAATAAAATAACAAACCAAAAATCAAAGTGGCTCATACAGCACCTTTAACCAAACCAAAACAACACACACCTGTTTAACATGTGGTTTTATTGAAACACTGGATTATGTTTTCCTACAACACTGATGTGGTATGCACAATTCAAACACGAACAGTGGAATATAAAAAAGCTGAAGAATATAACAGTAACAACATCTAGAGAGAGAGAAGCATCATTTTGGTCTCTTCCTCTGAATATTTTTTACAGCAGTACAAAACCAATAGACCCAATTGACAACGTGCATCAATTTAGTGGTGTGAGTTTGGTGTTAAAAGATGCTTTGATATTTGGAAACACCAGAAATTTGAACATACATAGAAAATACTAATATTAAGTGCACTTTAAACATACTTTTCTTGTTGTTTTGCATATGATCTTTCCACATATATACTGTATTTTCTTGCCATTGATTGTAGCTTGCAATTACAGAAACACATATATCATAATAGGAGCAAAAAGCTAGCCTAGCATGTAAACTATTTTGCTCTCCTTCAAGCCTTACAACACTGGAGCCATTTAAAAATGACATGAATGATTCAACCTGATCAGCTACTGTGCAAACTGTTGGGAAAACAGTCAATTCCTTTAATGAAATAATCAAAAAACAAAACAGGAGTCTTGAATTTCTAATCGTATGGCATATGAATATTTCCTCCAACAATTAACTTAATCTTGGCTCCTTTCAGCTCATTATTTTTCTACATTTTATCCTTTAAATTGAAAACAAAATTTAGGCAGAGCAACAACATATACATTATGCAAAAAACAAAAACACAATAATAAGCCGCCATTTTCTTTGGTTTTTCTTCATTTGTCATTCCAGACTATGTTTACATGCACATAGTATCTTTGGTGTTAGCTTGTATCCTTGTTCAGGAGATTCGTTTGATAGCTTACCCCAGAACATCTCTTTATACATGAATGATCTTGTATTTTGAGTATTGCAATTGGCAATGATCTGCCATTAACAAAACGATCCAGCAATTACATTCAGGTCTCCCGTAATCAAGATTACAATCTATCCAGACCACTGGAAGCAAGGTATGACTGTTACATGCTCCAACACATGAAGAGAAAGCCTCAGTAATTTAAGGGAATATTGTTGTACGTGTAAACATAGCCATTGACCTCCACCTTTCACTCCTCTCTCTCTATGGTCCGAAGCAGTATACTTTATACAAAATCAAATTTGGCAGGTTTGCAGAGGCGTAACTGTGAAAAATAAGGCTGGGCATCTATATCATATCAATATTGTTATATGAGACCAAATATTGTCTTAGATTTTGGATATCATTATATCCTAAGTGTTGTCTTCTTTTGGGTTTAAAGGCTACATTACAGTAAAATGATGTAAATTCCTGAACTTAGACTGTTTAAGCTGCTCTATTACTTGCCTTTACTCACATAGTCATTAAATCCACATTACTGATGATTGTTTATCAAAAACCTCATTGTGTAAGTATTTTGTGAAAGCACCAATAGTTAGCCCTACAACAATATCACATTATTGATATTAAAGTATTTGGTCAAAAATATTGTGATAATTGGTTTTCTCCATGCCACCCAGTCCTAGAAAAAAAAATCCAAACGCAAGATAATCTTTTAATAACTTGGGTTGGCCACTAAACATCCTGGGCCAATCGTTACACAAGTACTTTGTGAACGTGAAATTAAACCCTGTGATTTTTAAATTTCAAACAACAAATGGAGTCACACTTGATTACAATACTACAATGAACTATACCAGTTGTGCTAAAACTCTATAGTTTGCTCCCACCGTGACCCAGATGCTCCTCCCGCTGGTGTGAATGCCATTAAACAGTGATTACACTAGCATTGGCTCGCAGCATTGTATTTGACAGCAGTTCAACAGCCTTTGAGAACCTGCCTAATTCAATTTATATTTTGAGCATACTGCAGGCCTAATACCTTTTCTCTTCCCTCAAGCGCTGACAAACACCAGGCGGGTGGAGTAGATCAGGTCAGCCAGGTAAAGGATAAAGTTGACAGCAGTGAGCACAGCCACCGCCATGGTCTTATCCCACACACACAGCCCCAGCGCGGTGTTGCAGTTGTAGGGCCTATCTTTTGTTCCACCATGCTTGGGATCAAAGTTGAAGATGGGCCAGATAATGGTTGCTGACAGATAGAGGACCACGGCCAGGAGGGCATAGGCAGACAGGAAGCGTGCAAACGGGAAGGGGAGGCAGCCGGTGCATTCACCTATGCAGAGCAGGATGATGGCAGCCGACAGAATGAAGCAGATGCAGTAGACTGACATGCAGTACTTGAGTGCATCGTGACGGTCGTACAACACGGGGTCGCTGACGAAGACGAAGATGATGCAGGCCACAAAGGTCTCGCAGACTTTCAGCAGGCCGGGGGCTGTGGCCATGTAGCCGGCCACCTCGCCTGGACGCGCCTTGCTGATGCTAACCTCGGTCATGTAGGCGATGGTGGCCAGGCAGGAGAAGACGGTCGCCACGATTCGGTAGTCACGCGTTTCACTTGGTCCTGTTGAGCCCTTGAGGAAGTAGAGGGGGAAGATGATGGAGGCAGACAGGCAGAGCAGGGCAGCGTAGCAGGCGAAGGTGATAGGGAAATTCTTCCAGGAAACAGGGGCTCTGGTCTGAAGGCCGAACAGCTCCACCAGGATGACAAGCAGAGTCCCGGCGAAGCTGAAGGCCCAGCAGAAGATGCACCAGTCTCCGGTGCCATGGTAGAGTCTGCCTCCATGCACTGCCACGGAGAAGGCAATGCAGGAGAAGACCAGCGCTGCCAGCCGTGTCCATAGGAGGGGGCTGGAGTGGAGGACTATAGCCATGATGTGGTAGGTGATGCGTGAAGCTGGAATGGTTCTTGCAAGATATGAGTCTCTTCCTATTGGGAGTCACTTCTGCCGATTTTTGCTGTCAGCCACTCAGGGAAGGCAGAAAAGGCTGTAAGAAGAAAAGACATAGAAAAGACTTAGTAAGCAAGATTTCAACGCTTATGCAATTTTTTATGACCTCTAGATGGAGAACATGATAAGACCACATGAGGGCTTAGACAGACTCTGCACTCCTACATACCATTTTCTGAAACACACAATGCTGTTATTGTATTTTTATGAATGGTTGAAACAACAAGTGAAACCATGAAAACACAATTTAAAACCACAAATAATGACTGCACTGTGTTCGCACTCGTCACAGCACATTTACATCTGGTCAGATCATCTGGTGAACACTCCTCCTCTTTTTCTCTGTTGCTTTCTGCCCGTATCAAGCTCCAGACTGCTTTCTCAACAGCATTCCTGCCCTGAGCGCAGACTGTTTCACTCTGACATTCCTCCATGCTCATGTCCTCGGACAGGCGTGGTGCCGCAACCTCCACCGACCCGCAGTGTGTCTGTCATCGTGCTCTAAACATGGCCCTTTCCACTCGTTCCACTCCCACTCCCAGGGACCTCATCTTCACTGCACAACAAGGCTGAGAATCTAGTCCTGCCTAAACTTTGTTAAAGGAAACTGCATCTTTAAGGCCCTGAAAACCTCTTGTTACTATTAGAGATAGGGTTCTTTCGGAGAACAAATTTTTCTTCGAAAGCTAAAGCAGTTTTTTTTTATTTCACATGATTTCCTGATGGTTTTACAATGCTATTTGAAGAGGGCAGGGTTCAGTTGGAAACAGCTGATGTCACAGCTGATGTCAGTACACCAACTTAGAGTAGGTTTTTAAGCACTAAAGGGGCTCTAAGCAAAATTCAGAGCATATGAGTTGTCTGGACACAGTTCTCAAAATGGAAGTGGCAGTACGGATTACAACTGTAACCATATCTGTAGGTTTTCTATTTCACTTCATTTCGATTCAGCAAATTATTTTAAATCAAACATGGCTAAAAGTTAAAGCTACTGCAAAAGCATTTTCAGATGCATCTCCTCATGTAACAGCCAAATGAGAAAACCTCTACTGTCATAAAAATTCAAATTTACTGATTTTTTTGCCAAGAGTTTAGTAGCTCATTATTTCCTCAACTTGGTAAACGATATAAAATATATATTTACTGAGTAAATTGGAGAGTGGAAAGAGTCATAAAGTCAGCAAACCGCTACTGGTCACACCAGACCAAGTGAGCAGTTGTAGCACACCACACCACCCAGTCTGCTGGGTTAAAAAAGGGTGTGTTTTATTGCCTATAAAATTAATTGTTCATTTGTTAGAGAATGAATATGCCATTTCCTCTTTTACACAGCCACACTTGTAGGCTACATAGGAATGTGTTTTGGCTATGGCTTGATTTGTCCGTTGACTATTTTTTGATTGTTTTTCATTGTTTCAAATTGGTTTTGTCAAAAAAAAAAGTGATATAAAACAGAGAAATGGGAAATCCTCGCATTTGCAAAGCTGCAACCAACAGTTTTGCTTGCTAAATTACGTTTTTACTTGTACTATAAAAGTGTTTAAGGTGGGCTAATCAATCATTTGACTAATCTTTTTCAACTCAAGTTAGAGCAAGTTTGCTTGACTGACAGATGTCCATCAGAATATAACACTCAGCCTTGTCTACTGCCCGTCATTTTGCTCCACCTTCACCCTCAAATTAGAATTTTGAGACAAATGGTGCAACAATCTCGACTCAAGGTTTCAGAACGCCCTTTCCGAAATGATAGTTGATGTCACGTTTTCAACAAACCCTAGAGACACCAAATCAGGTGTGAAATGCTTGTGTCCATCTGTTACCATTGCAAGGCAGAGAAGGGTTTTTCCAGTTGATGCAAATTGCTCAGACTGCAACCTTGTGTGCAGCAGCATGTGCTGTGATCTAATGAGGATACTGTCATTAGTACAGATATCCTCTCCCTGCTCTACAGTGGATTTCTATTGAACGTTGGTGCACAATTGCATCTATATAAAGAAGCTCTTGTTCTTTGATTCTGAGGGACTGATGGTGATGACAGCTGATGTTTGTTGATGTGCATTTTCTGAAATCAGCTCTGGACAAAATATGTCTGGATGGGACAAGAACTCAGCACTTGTACCAAGATTCTTTTGTTACATGCTTCACAAAATATCTTGACACAAGTTGATCTGGTTTCGAGGCTTTCACAAAAACAAGATTTTCAGCCACAAAACACATTTAATGAGATAAGTAGGACATTTTCACAGTGTTGAAACCCTCTGACAGCACCGGCTGTCCTCCCTCCCATCCCTCCTGACACCCATCACCCACTTGGCTCCACAAGGACTGCATTCCCTGTTCCCAGTTTACACAGCGAGACAGTTATAAACAAGGAGAAAAAGCCTGTTTACATTAGCCCCATTAAACACCTATAAAATAGTCGATGCTGGGGAGGTGAAAAGCTGAACTGGTGGCGAGGTATGAATAGAAAGAAGGGAACAAAAAAGAGAGAGAAATGGAAAAAGAGACCCCTTAAACTCCTGTATGATGACTAAGTTGAAGCCAAGAGGGAGTGGAGTGGAGGGGAGGGAGGGGAGGAAAAAGAGGGAGGAACATGGGGGAAGCCCTGTGTCTCAGGCCGCAGAAGGACACATAGTTTAAACACAGTGATGGAGTAGAATAGCAGAGAAGTGAGTCACCACCGGGCCCCTCTCTTTCACCACTCCTCCTTTTCTCTCCCCCCTTCCTCCTCCCTTATTTCTTGTAAGATTTTCCAACTTACTGATGTGTTCCAGATGTGCTGCAGTCTGGCTGCTGCTGAACAACTGGTAACTTTGTCATATTTGCCAAGTTCTTTCCTTTTCTCTCTTTTCCTTCCCTTCCTTCCCTCCTCATCGTCTCATTTTGGCGGCTACTCCCTCTCTTTTCCATCAGTTGTCCTCTTACTCCCTCCCAGCTCAATACTCCCACTCCAGCTTTAAAGTCAGGGTACCAATTATGCTTCATGTAAACCACTCAAAATAAATGTATACGGAGGGGTCGTAATGGAAAAATCAATCCCGCCACTCCCGCCGCCATTACTTTGCTGCTTATGGAATCAAGTCAGGAAAGAAATGTGAGAGGAAAATGGCAGAGGGAGGACAAAAAAAGGAGAAAAGAAACAAGAGCACAGTGTGGAAAAGTGTCTTTTCACAGCGCAGCATGGAAAACACGACAGGATCACACAAATAGGGGCACTTCCCCAAATGGAAGAGGTGCTGAAAATAGGCTCACACATCAGGCTTGCAACAGGACAGCAAACAGGATGTGACAGCATCATGCTCCTCTGCACAGTCACTTTTCATACAGACAGCAGGACGCACACACACACACACACACACACCCATGCACACACATGTGCAGGAAACAAGTGTTTGTCTCAGGCAGAGAGGTCATGTGCGCTGCTTGTTTGGTTGTCATGACACAACATCACTAACTCGATTTTACCCATAATTCACTTACAGGAAACCTGGGGGTCAAAGCACAAGAGGAGCTCTGTTGGCAAACCATCCCAGTGTGTGTGTAACAGCTTCATGTTAGTATATTAGTGTGCGACTGTTGTGTGTTGCAGTATGTAGCAAAATGTACCTTAACATTTGACCTTTGTAGACCAAAAAAAAAAATCCTAAGTATTCAGCAATTTTTTTTTCATTTTTTGTCAGACAAGAGAACCATCAGAAACACCATGAGAACAGCAACAAGATACTAAACCTCTCTAATGAAATACACACTGACCTTTTTTCAGACCCACCACACCTACTCAGTGTTGAGGGAAATTTGGATACAGTTCGGCATTTAGGTCAAGAACACTAAGGAGGTTATTAGTGAGAATCTAAATCAGTATCTTCAACACATTCAGGCACAACTGTGACACAAAATCCAGAAAGAGAGGGTAAAAGTCCCCATAAAGGAGTGTGTGTCAGTGTGACAGCTGTGTGCTAGGCTCCTGCAGAGGCTCATTCATTGACAGTGAAGGTGGGTGTGCCGCCTGCCGCACCCTTCTCCCACCACACACACACACACACATACACACACAAACCACACAGACCCAAAACATAGAAATAAATGTTAAAAACAGGCATTTGTCTTCAGGAAACTGGGCTGAAAATACATTTTTGAAAACACTGTGCACCTGATGAATGTTTCAAAGTCTCTCACCACAAAAATACTACAGCAGAAAAAAATTAAAAAGTAACATAACATTTTAAATGTAATCATTTATAGTTGTTCCTTTTAATGTCAGCTCTGTTTTTATATGGACACATTTCCAAACCCACTTTAAGTATGGACTCAATAATGTCAAAATATGATAAGTTTCCTCTGACGTCCGTAAATGAAAGGCACCCTTGCTGCTGATTGTTTCACATTCTTCACATGAGGCATGCAGGTAGGCAAGATGCAACAAGTTGTAGTTGAACGCATTTTTTTTCCTTGCACAAGATCACAGTATCTACCTCATAAAAACACGCTTTAAATCACCACCATCAAGTTGTAGGCTATGTATGTTGCCGAGTTTGATGTTAAAGTTGGTTACCTTTGGCTGCGGAGAGTCTCTCGTTTCTCCGGGACATCCAGCAGTAGAGAATCGTAGGTTGCAACTCCTCAGCTCCCTGACATGACCAGCAGCTCAGAGAAGCAGCTCCCCGCCCAGCTAACCAAATTAGGCATCAAATTTGTGCACCGTTATTCACATCTGTCTCGACTCTCCTCCTCCTCCTCCTCCTCCTCCTTGCAGCCTGAAGCCCAGGACACTGACTGCTGAACACACCCAATGCAGAGCAGCAGAAGTGTGCAGCCCTTTTCGAAATTACATTTTTGATGTGTTTTCCACATTTTCAGAGGCTGGAAGCAGCGTGAAAAGTAGCCCAGGGTTTTTGTATCGCTCTTGTATGTAAAGATGCTGTGTATTGATCCCTGTAATGTGAAATAGAAGAGAGCTTCAATGATTGTTATTTTTGTTATCATCCAATGTGATTGGGTGACATGTGGTCAGATGTTTGTGTCAGTAAAGAAAAACATTTTTCGTGTTTAAATTCAGTTGGGCTGAATACATCTGGTAAATTGTGTTATAATTCGTGAAAAAAGTAGGCTAGGCTATAATAAAACCCCGAATATATGAAAAGACATTAGCTGAGTTAATATTCGCTGCAAAACTTAATATCAAATTCATATGGTTTGGGGATGATTTACTTAAGGACCCACCCAGTTACGTATTAGGCCTACTAATGAAACATTTATTTTATCACCCCTCCATCAGCGTTTCTATCGGCACAGTCCAGATGACACAAAATATTTGTCAGTGCTAAAGACTGACTCATCGTAGTCTGGGGTTATTTGTATGCGTTGCCCAGCAACGGCAGCTGTAACCCCTGACAACCGTATGGTATTTACCGAGTGTTGTAAATCGACGCGTTTCCTGACCGTGTTAAAAAAATGATCCGAGCGACAGAGGGAAGTCAGTGTGCTCTCACATGCACATTCTTACAAGATTACCTTAATTTAGCCTACCTAAATTGCTCACATTTCATTCAGCCGTTAAAACCTAATGTCATGAGACCAGCACACCGTGTGTTTGTTAGTAGAGAGAATAAGGTTTATTCTATTCTATTTTAATCTATTTTTCACTAATTTTATTACTGAAACAAAAGCTTAAACTTAATACTGGACAATAACAAGACTATGTAAAGTTCATCTTGTAGTTCATCTTGAATTCTAGAAAAAAAATCACTATAAACCAGATTGATTTAGAAAAGGGTGCTGGGATAGAAAAATCTTTGGTTAACATAAGAGCAGGGTGAAAGAAGCATAGATTATCAGGAAAATGTACTTAACCTCTATACGTATAGAGGTTAAGTACATTTTCCTGATAATCTATGCTGTATCATAATATAATTTTATGTTTTGTATGAAAAATCCCAGTCAAAAGTAAAATATTGCCTTCTGAGTTGCAGTGGAGTAGAAGTATAACATGGCCTGAATAGGAAATACTGAAACGAAAGTGCTTTGAGTGAAAATGGCCTACTTAGTTCATTCCACTTCTGGAAAAGACTGACCACATGACCTGAATTTCTGGATTGGCTGGTGTTTAAAAAAAAACAACCTGTAAGTAAGAAAAATAGTTCTTAACTCGTTACACAAGTTCAGCAACTCACAACAGAGTAGCTACTCTGGAGTACACATAATGTTAAAGATTTATAACACTTATGTAAAAAAAAAAACAAAAACAAAAAACATCTGACCTCCATACATGTCATAAGATTCAACAATAGTAATAATAATGATGCAAAACCTGCCTAGTGCAATAGTTAGCTCTATTTTTCCACCTATGGCTCTGATCTAAAGTATTCAATGAAGCAACACATGTCCTCTGATTACAAATAAATCAGGAAGTAGAGCTCTCCTCTTCAGTATTCCACGCCTAGGAGCCAAGCCAGGGCCAAGTTTGGCAGCTCATTTTTTTGTAAAATAATATTGCTGATTTTGAGATTTGACCAGCTGATTAATGAAAATAAATTGGACTTTCAGGTCATTGCTGAAATAAAAACACTCTCACTTATCTTCAGTTGTCTTACAATGAATTCATTTATTTAAAATATTGATAGCGGGAGACAAACCCAACACATCAGTGGTGGCATGGAGGTTGCTTAAAGAAAGAAAATATTTTGAACTTAAATTTGTCGTTAAAAAACAAGGTCACTGGTGGAGGTGTGTGCTTCTTCATCTAGTCTGAACAACACGATGCCTGTCTGCAGCCTGAGATGCAAGATCTTGTTAAGTTTGTGATAAGATGGGTAAGGACATCTTCATTTGCTGTCGAGTGTACGGGAAAGGTTGGGGTCAGTTGACCATGACACTGCAGAAACACAGAGACAACATTTTCTATATATTTTTTAATTTAAAAGTACTTTTGCAGGTTCCTTGTACAATATTCAGCACATTTCCTACAGACCTACCACTTCTAAAAACTACACAGCTCTTTCATTTTTATTCAGATATACTGTAGGGCCTGCAAACATTTTTTATACATTTTTTTAGAGAAGGATTGGCCTGTTTTTTCATAGTAAATTGTAATGCTATACTTTTGCCATACTTGTTTGCATTGTTAATTTCATTTTCTATTTATATGTTTATATTTTGCACCAATAATTCAAAGCAAATTACTTTTATGTGAAAACCTAGTTTGTGAAACTGGGTTCTGATTCTGAGGGTTTTGCTCAAAACTGGACGTGACTGAGCATCAATTAAAGAGGTTACTAATAAAAATAAATAATAAAATATTATAAAAAAATAAATAGATAAAAACTGATGACAAAAACAACAAGAGTGAACCTAACATCATAATCTAAGATGAAACATTTTATTTTTAGGCATTTATTTTTTTGTCCTGTGAGTTTTTTACACCACCGCCACCAGATGGCGCCAGATTTAAACTCCAGGCCATCGCACATGACGTCATAATTTTGCGACATTTTCACAACACAATCGTCAGTTTCTGGAGACCGGTGGATGTTTGGAGAAGGTAACATCATGGCGTCGGAAACAGGAGAGCAGTCCACTGGACACGATGCAGAATTGGACGAATTGTTGGACAGTAAGTGTTGACATTAAGTCTTTAGGGCGACCCCGTCTTTACTCGTATGAGTACTGTTTGTCCTGGTGTTTAAAACGGCTGTGATTTGGCGCTGGGTCCCGTCCATCTCCCGCTCTGGCAGGGGCTAGCTTGTGCGCTCGGTGGGACCTCCTGTTCAGGTCCCAAATATCGGCAAAGTAACGTTAGCCCATCGCTGACATTCGGACCTGTCGGATATCATTCTTTAAATTAAAGTTGTCACTGCACGCGGCTAACATAATGTCATAAAGTACGTCGTGGTGCTAATGTTAGCTATGTTAGCTAACTTTGCTAGATGTGCTCCACATCAACCATACATTACGTATTTGCCCTTGAATCTTATTTTATCGCTTTCCCCCCGCTGGTCGGTGTTAGGCAAAATAAAAACCCGTTAATCTGACATTGAATTGGATTGTCCTATAATGAGAGGTCTAAAGTCTTTATTAATGAGGATAAACTAAATATTAAGTTAACAGTACAGTTCAAACAGCTCAACAAACCGGTGTAAAAGTTACTGCTAAACTTCTGTGTTGTTAGTTTTAGCTGGGCCTACCCAATTAACTTGTAACTGAGTATTGCATTTCATGACATCAAACTCAGAGCTGGTCTTCCATTTTAAATCACACCATTTAAGATAAGAGACATGATTTTACATTTCAAAATGAGCTAAAAACTTTACCAATCAGAAAGAATACAAGATAAACGGCTTGTGGACACAGTTGAATTGTTAGGAATTTGCTGCATTAGTTGTTTGGAGACATCTGATGTACATATTTATTCCTTCTCTCTTGCGGGCGCTGAAGCTGGTTATAAGAAGTAGATAATAGCTGATTTCTTAACATTTGTGTTGTTGAATTACTCCTTTAAATCTCTGTGCTGTTATAGTTCTAACATTCGTCTTTGCTTTCAGGTGCGCTAGATGATTTTGACAAGACACCGGCCCCGCCAACCCCTGAAGCTGCTGCTGCGTCCTCTTCAGCCACAAGTGGTGCTGAGAAGGTGGGTTTGTTATTGATTGTGTAGTGATGGTGCTGTTTCAGGGTTCATATCCCGTGCTACCTATGCACAGACTATATAGTCTCAGCCTCCACCTTTCTGTATAGGCTTTTCTCTCCTTACTGAATTGTACTTGTCACCTGTATACAGCTTGTGAATCAATTTTGTGTGAACTTGGCTCAAGTAGCAACAGCACTGATTTATTTTAATGTAACAGAGAACTAGTGTCACTCAAAGGTCCAGTGTGTAGGATTTAGAAGCATCTGTTGGCAGAAATGGTATGCCATATCCATAACCATGTTTTCATTCACTTATAATAACAATAAAATAAGGATCATGTTGTCATTACCTAAGAATGAGTTGTTTACATCTACATATAGAGTGGGTCCTCTTCTGCCCAGACCACCCTGTTGTTCCACAGTAGTCCAGAACGGACTAACCAAACACTGGCTCTAAATAGAGGCATTCACATTTTCATGTTTTTGTGTCAGCCTCTATAGTTGTCCTACATGCCTGGCTCACAGGAGAAGTTTCAGCTCTGCAACTCCTACACACTAGACTGTTTATTGACTTTAGTATAAGGTTATGTTCAACCCAAGAATCGAATAATTAGAGAAACTAACAATTAGAAGAAACTTAAAACTTTGATTTTCCTGCAAAGGGATATTTTTGGATATTGCTGTCTAAAGTTTTTTTAAATAATTTTTTAAATGTCCACCAACACACTTGATTATCAAGTTATATGCCTTAAGAGAAAATTGTCTCTTGATATATATTTTTCTGATTGTTTGAGGTCACTGTCTCTAACAAGAGACAAAATATTTATTTATTTGGTAGTTATCAGCCTTTCACTTGGTCAGTTCCTCTGTCTGTTTTCTTCATGTGAAAACCTGTTTACTTTTGCTGCTGCCAAGTGTGTCGATCAACTGGTTGTTGGTTGTGTGATGTGCAAAGCTTGATGTGCAACGCTCAAAGTTCACTGCCCACTAGGGGTGTAATGATACATCGATCCACATCAATTCATTGATTAACGATC